TCGAAAATTATTAATTTTCATTCTTTGATTTGTTTCACTAATACGCAAAACCTTATTAGGATTTTATACAAAGTAATTTTACTTAAATAGTGAGTCACACAAAATACTATACAAAAAAATATAAAAACTACTACTCTCACCTGTTAATTAACAAAAATCGTTAATTCAATTTCACGGCTAATAATTACAAAAGAAAAAAGCAAGTAGAAAGAACACAATCCTCCACAGTTTAAGACCAAAGTTTATGATACTAGTTTGAGGTGCAAGAAAAAATCTTTTCTAGAATTTCCACCGTAGTACGTAATCTAAGAAGACTTCCTCCTTAGTGTAGTATACAGGTAGAAGAATCCGCACCATAAATATTCATTTTATCTTTCCGGAGAAAATCACGGCTTACGTGGTTCCTCCATTTGACTTGCAGTATATAAGTGATGCTATCTCTCTCTATCTCTCTGAGAAAGTAAAAAAAGCGGAGGAAAATTACCATTTCGAATCCAAAGTAATTAGAAAGGATCATATAGGCAAAAAAAAAAGAGAATTATATTATACGGTATTTAACTTCAAGTTCTCTGGGGTGGAAAATTAATCTTTAAACTCACACTCGCAACGTCTTCAATGTATCACTATTGCTATAAAGATAAGAAATTTAATATCCAAATAATTTGTTCACCAAAAAATTATTGTATGGATTAAAGAAAATTGCGACCAACAAAAATTATCATACAGATTAACCAAAAATTGTTCGACAAAAGTTATCACATGGACTAAAAAAATTGTAAACCAAAAAATTATCACAGGGACTAACAAAATTGTCCAGGAAAAATTATCACATGAATGAAAAGAATCGTCCACAACAAATTTTCTTGGTACTTCTTTTTTTTTTGTCAATAAAACTTATTCTATATTAATTTTATCACTATTGACTGTATATTTTTACCTACGCAAAATTTACCTGCTCGTATTTTTTCACATCTACACAATCTTAACACTATTTTACTTTTATAGAATCAAGGAGATACTAAATTGTAGCAAATTTATAACAAACAGGGTGTCTACAACTAATCTGAAAAAAATTTCCCTAACATTTCCAGGTTTTCCAGGGTTTCTAAAATTTTTTTTCCAGATTTTAAGAATCGACATAATAAAAAATACATTGCTTAAATTTTATTTAATAACACTTATAAATGACGTGGGAGAAGTATTCACAACGTTTGTCCACAACGATTTGAAGAAAAAAAAACTGTTTTTCACTCTAGAAAACAATATTTTACGTTTACAAAATTTTCCTTTTTTAAACTTTTTTTGTTCAAGAAACATTGTAAAAGTTTTATTAAGACAAAAGTTTGAATAGAAAATTATTTTTTCTTCTAAATCATTGTAAACTTCACCAACGTTATAAATATTATGAATATAAAATGAACATTTTTAAAAAAATTATCAGGGCTCGAACCAGTGACACAGTATTTAAAAATACGTACTTTACGGACCAAAAATGAAAAATTACGGACCATGTACGAACAAAAATAATATCAGCAGTCCGAGTCAAATAAGAGAACATTTTACTTAAAATTATAAATTAAATTTTTCACAACTATAAAACATGAAGATATCCATAGCTCCGAGTTCGTATAGTGATTCGACTCGGAGTGATCGATTTCTTCATGTTTTATAATAATTAAAGATAACCGAGTGATAAAATCATCATCAATTCAATTATTATTTTCAATAATTTTTAACTAAAATTCTTCTTTAAATCACTTTTACGAAATCTCAATTATTCGTAAATTCTTCAATTAAATATACATTCGAAAATAAAAACTTCAATTAAAAAAAAATTCAGTTAACATATTTCAAAATTCAATTATTTATAAAAATTCACGCTATACGGCTTTTAGTATTCAATTATTATCTAAAATTTTAACTGAAATTCATTTTTAAATAGAATTTTTATTAGAATTCAATTATTTAAATACAAAAATAAATAATTTATTGAATTATTGAATGTTTCTTAAAATTTAATTCTCATAAAGAATTTTACCAACAAATTTTTAAATTGATGACGAATTTTAATAAAATTTTAAAGAATAATTACATTTTTCGAAGAATTCGATTAAAACTGTACTAAAAATAATTGAAATTCTTTGTTGATTTTTATTATTTATGAAAATAATTGAATAGTTGTTAGCAATTTTAAAAAAAATTTTCAAAAATAATTGAATTCCTGAGAAATTTGTATTATTCTCAAAAAAATGGAACTCTTACGAAGATTTTTACATAAAATTTTTAAATAATTGAATTTTGCTTACATAGAAATTTTATAAAATAGTAGATATTGAAAATCATTGAATTGTGAATTTTTTTTTAAATAATTCAATTTTACAAAGAATTCTATTATAATTCTTATTATTTATGAAAATAATTGAATTCTTTCGAACGATTTAATAAGAATTTTTTTAAACAATTGAATTTTCAAGAAAAAATGCATTACTTTTAAAAAATAATTGAATTCTTGTAATGAATATTGTTATTTATGAAAATAATTGAATTCTTCCAAAGAATTTAAAAAAACATTTTTTTAACTAATTGATTTTCTCGAGGAATTGAAATTAAATTTTTAACAAGAATTACATTTTTTTTAGCAATTTCTGTAAAATTGTATTAAAAATAATTGAAATCCGGTAATGGATTTTATTATTTATGTAAATAATTGAATAGTTGCAAAGAATTTTATTAAAATTTTCAAAAATATTTGAATTCCTAAAAAATTTATATTATTTATTTAAAATAATTGAATTATTGCAAAAAATTTTATTAAAATATTTAAAAAGAATTAAATTTTTGTGAAAAATTTTCAGGGTTGCCACAAATATTTAATTTTATTTTTCCCTGACTTTTCCCTGATTTCCAGACAAAATTCTCACTTTTTCCCTGACCATAAAAAATATTCTGATTCACTCTAAAAATTATTAGAAACTCAAAAAAAATGTTCAATTACATTTATTTACAAATTTTATTAATTGTAAAATTATTCAAAAACATCAATAATTTCTTTTTTAAATAAATATTTAATCATTATTATGTTTCCGTAGGAATTAAAATTCATACCATGAAATTTTTCAAAAAAATTTTATTATTTACAAAAATGCTAATAAAATCCTTCGCAAGAATTCAATTAGTTTTAAAAAGTAGTAAATTTTCTCAAAAAAATTCAATTATTGGAAAAAATTGTAATAAAATTCGTTGCAATAAATAAATTACTTTCATAAATAATAATAAATCGATTATTCGGTAATTCATTTTTAAATAAATTTTTTTATTAGAAAATTCTAGAAGAATTCAATTATTTAAATTAAGAAATAAATAATTTATTGAATAATTAAATGTTTGTTAACATTGAATTCTAATAAAGAATTTTATCAACAAATTTTTAAATAATTCAATTATTTTGACAAATTTTAATGAAATTTTTAAGAATAATTATACATTTATCGAGGAATTTGATTAAAATATTGTATAAAAAATTAATTAAAATCCTGCGAAAAGTTTTATTATTTATGAAAATAATTAAAACTTTTCCCAAAAATTTTATTAAAATTTTTCTAAAATAATCGAATTTCGATGAACAATTTTATTATTTATAAAAATAATTGAATTCTTGAAAAGAACTTTGTTAAATTTTTTTTTAAATAATTGAATTCATGGGACGAATTTTATAAAAATCTTTTTAAATAATTGATATTTTTCGAAAAATTTTATGAAATTTTGTATATTAAATAATTGAATTCCTGTGAAAATTTTATTATTTATGAAAATAATTGATTTATTTCGAAGAAACTTATTAAAAATCTTGTAAATTATTGAATTCCTGTGAAATTTTGCCAAGAATTTTATTCAAGTTTTTAAAAAGAATTGAATTTTGAAGAAGAATTTTATTATTTATAACAATAATTGAAATTTTGACGAGAATTTAAAAAAAAAATTTTAAATATTTGAATATTAAAGAATTTTATTATTTATAAAGATAGTTAAAATTTTGATAAGAATTTTTTTTTAAATTTTTGAACATAATTGAATTTCTGAGAAGAATTTTATTACTTTTGAAAATAATTTAATTCTTCCAACGAACTTTATTCAAGTTTACAAAAATAATTGAATTTTGGTGAAGAATTTTACTATTTCTAAAAATAATTGAATTCTTGAAAAGAACTTTGTTAAATTTTTTTTAAATAATTGAATTTCTGTGAAAATTTTATTATTTATGAAAATAATTGATTTATTTCGAAGAAATTTATTAAAAATCTTGTAAATTATTGAATTCCTGTGAAATTTTGCCAAGAATTTTATTAAAGTTTTTAAAAATAATTGAATTTCGTAGAAGAATTGTATTACGAAATATACTATTCTGCAATCATTTGTAATTTCTCTAAAATTTACCAAATTTTATCGTACAATTTACAAACTTTTTGTCCTTTTTCAATCAAATTACGGACTTTACGGACCTTTTTTTAAAAAAAAAAACTGACTTTTACGGACTTTACGGATCTAGTTCGAGCCTTGAATTATGTATTTTAAAAATAAATTGACTTATTTTACGAAACAACATTTTTCAATGCCATTATTTCTGCTTTTCTTTTGATCTTTCAGAATTTTAAGTGGTCAATCTTTTATTCTATTTGATTATATGTATGTCTGTGGATCGTATTATTTCTCAAAAATCAAAATATAATAGAATTGCAAATTAGAAAGGCAATATTAATTATTACTATATTTATTTTTTACTAAAAATTTGTAAAACTAAATTGTGGGCTTTAAAAATATTGTTCAAGAGTATTTCAAGTCATGATGAAAAAAATTCCCTGAACTTTCGAAAAAATTTCCTGACATTTCCAGGTTTTCCAGGACATTTTTAATTTCAGTGAAATTTCCCGGTTTTCCAGGTCTTGTATAGACACCCTGACAAATAAATAAATAATTATTTCAAATTGGTACAAAAAGTATTAACAAATAACAAATAAATTAAAAAACAAAGAAAGACAAATAACGAATAACGAATATTCATCTGAAATCCTCTGAAAAAGAATATTAATAAACAATAAAGCAATAAATAATTTTTGACAACGGCAACATGGACGCGGGGTAAGAAGCGATGGTGACAAAATACAGAAGGCACATCGATCGTCTCGCTGACCAGGTGATGCGATTTCAACTCGAAAGCGCGGTCCACTGTTTAAACATCAAGCATGTCGTGCTGGATGCATCAGGAAGTCAGCGGAAGTCTGTTTCCGAGCGTCCCACTCTCTCTCTCTCTCTCTCTTTCTCTCAGCGGCGTGAGATATGCAAAGCTTCTGTGAACATTGTGCATTCAGCATCAGTGAAGCCTGAGTGTGATTCGGCATTGTGTGCATTGTACAGAGTGGTTCAATGTACATATATATACGCAACGAGAAATTCAACTAAAAAACCATTAAACTTCAATTTGCAAATAAACTTTTTTTATTTTTAATCAAAAATAATACATCCACTCAGAGAAAATTTGATTCAAGCAACAGATTTTGAATTTTTGTGTCTTTTTTGTTTGCCTCATAAACTACACACTAAAAAAAAAAAGTTTTACTTTCAGCCTCTTTTTGAGGCTGAATTTAAGGTGTAAACGGAGTGAGACTATTTTTTCCTGTGTATATGAAATCACCACGAATTCTGATTTGGGTCAGAATTCGTGAAATTTTCACAGAAAATAAAAAGTATTTTTTTTAAATCGAAATGTTGAAAAAACATTTCTATTTGGCCTTAAGAATGTGCCCACCAAAAAACAGGAAAAAAAATTATTTCTTATAAAAGTTATTGCAAAATTAATTTTTTTGCAACTTTTTAAACAAAATTTTATTTCTCCTAAATGAATGAACCGATTTAAATGAACCAAGCGGGAATATCAAGGGGATAAAATATACTTTCGTTTAGAATTAGAAAATTTTTAAAAAGTTTATTTTTTAATAATTATTTAATAAATTTTTTATAAACAATTAATTTTTTTTAATGTTCTACGCCTTTTAAAAATTTGAAAAAAATATTAACATACACTTAAAACTATAAGAAATCAAAATCCGTTGAGAAAATTTTGGAGCGACAATTATTTTAAAAGTTATAAACAAATTATATTGAACGGAGATGCGATTTTGATGATTTTCAGAATTAAAATATATTTTTAACTACGAAATGAACAAAACACTGTCAAATTAACATTTTTATTCAATTATATAACCATAAAAATTGATAAAAATGATCAAAAACTAAGTTCAGCGTTGATGCACAACACCGCGCCAATATAATTTGTTTATAACTTTTAAAAGTAGAACATTAAAAAAATTAATTGTTTATAAAAAATTTATTAAATAATTATTAAAAAATAAACTTTTTAAAAATTTTCTAATTCTAAACGAAAGTATATTTTATCCCCTTTATATTCCCGCTTGGTTCATTTAAATCGGTTCATTCATTTAGGAGAAATCAAATTTTGATTAAAAAGTTGCAAAAAAATTAATTTTGCAATAACTTTTATAAAAAATAATTTTTTTTTCCTGTTTTTTGGTGGACACATTCTTTAGGCCAAATAGAAATGTTTTTTCAACATTTCGATTTAAAAAAAATACTTTTTATTTTCTGTAAAAATTTCACGAATTCTGACCCATTTACAAAACCTTCAATTTTTTTTTATTTCCGCCAATAATAATTTCTTTTTAAATAACTTCATTCTTGAACAACTATATCATAAAATTAGTACTTAGAAATTATTTAATGAATAATAAATAAAATTTTATTTATACATTTCAAAATTAATTGAATTTTAAAGTTGCGTTTACAATTTTCCTAAATAGATGAACTTCAAAAGATTTTAATTTCAAATTTTATAAAATATCAATTTTGAATGAATTTCATTAAAAACTCTATAGAACTTTAATTTTTGTAAAAATTTTCAAAATTTAAATTATTCTGAAATTAGTTAAATTTTATTTAATTAATTATTAAAAATAATGAATTTATCGAGGAATTTTAGTTAAAAACACTAATAAAATTTCAATTTTGGAGAAGTTACAAATGATTGCAAAAATTCAATTATGTTCAAAAATTTTTAAAAATTCTCATCAAAAGTTCAATTATCTTTATTATGAATAAATTCTTCTTCGAAATTCAATTATTTTTAAAAAAATTTAATAAAATTCTTGGCCAAATTGCAATTATTTTCAAAAAATTTCCTCAATTCAATGATTTTCGAATATCTAATATTTTAATAAAATTTTTCCAAAGAATTCAATTATTTAAAACAAATTTTGTTAAAATTCTACGAAAACATTTAATTATTTTCATAAATAATAAAAATTCACAAGAATTTTATTATTTACAAATTTCTTTGTAATAATTCCAGTATACTCATAAACTATACAATTTTTTTGCAGAGATTCAATTATTTTCGTAAATAATAAAATTCTTTTTAGAAATTCAATTATTTTCATAAATAATAAAACTCATCGCAGAATTGCAATTTTCTTTTAGAATACATAAGAAAATTCTGAATTTTGTTGTCTTCAATTTTTTCAATTTCTGACAATAATTTCTTTTTAAATAACTTCATTCTTGAACAACTGTCATGAAATTAGTACTTAGAAATTATTTAATGAATAAGTTTACTTAAATATAACAAAACTCATTGAATTTTAAAAGAGTTGCGTTTACAATTATATTTTCATAAATAGATGAAGTTCAAAAGGTTTGAATTTGAAATTTTTAAAAATTCCAATTTCTAACGAATTTAATTAGAAATGTTAAAGAACTTGGATTTTTGGAAAATTTTAATAATTCAAATTCTTCTTAAAATTAGTTAAATTTGTCTATATATATTTTTAAGTAATTTTTTTAAAACTAATGGATTTATAGAAAAATTTTAGTTAAAAAAATTTTAAAAAATTTAATTTTGGAGAAGTTACAATTCAATTCTTTTCAAAAGCAATAAAATTCTTCTTGCAAAGTTCAATTATGTTCAAAATTTAAAAAAAATTAAAATTTCACAGGAATTCAATAAATAACAAATTTTTTTTATAAATTTTTACGCAATAATTCAATTAATTTCATAAATAATAACATTTTTTTTATAAATTAAATTATTTTTATAAATTATAAATTTGTTTCAGGAATTCAATTATTTTCATAAATAATAAAGCTTATCGCAGAATTTTAACTATTTTTAGTACAATTTTAATCGAATTCCTCAAAAAATGTAATTGTTCTTAAAAATTTTATTTTAAAATTCGTCAAAAGAATTCAATTATTTAAAAATTTGTAGATTTCTTTCTGAAACAACCAAATTTTGCTTGAATATTTATTTATTTGCTTCAAACAAACTTTATTTAGAAATTATTTTCTTTATAAAAAAATAAATAAATATTTTAATAAAAATAGAGTATTTGATATACAAATATAATTTTTTTTCAATTAAAAGATAAATAAAACAATTGAAGATTTTATAAATAAAAAAAAATAATTGTAAGAAATAATTTTTACAAGAAAAAAAAAATTCTTTCAAGATTTGCGTAACATATATACATATAAACCATCTCCGACGAAAAATCGCAATTTTCCACACAAGAAATATAAAAAAAGGCCATGAGAAATGGAATTTGAAAAGCACAAGACACTTTAAATTTTTCAATTTTTTGACAGGGGGAAATATTTCCCTTTTTTTAACATCGATAAAGCCAAACAATTTTTTTTAAAGCTTACAAGAAAAATTAATTTGCATGTGTGAAATTTTTTTTTGTCAAAATAACATTAAAAGCAAATTTTACATGGTTCCTTGTGATTTATACTCGGGTTATATTATAAGGAAAGGAAATACGAGCAGTCATTTTTCAAAACTGAAATAAGGTTCTTCTTTAAAAAGATCTCGACTTGGAAAATTTATGAACGCACTCGAGAGTTTTAAATTTAATCTATAAAATAAATAGAAAATAACTATTTTTTCTTTCTGTCTGTCTGTCAAATTTACTACTATAAATATTTCACTCTTTTGTTCTCTGTATTTTATTTTCTTTACCGTTATCAAAAAAAAGCAATTTTTGTATTTATAAAAAATTTACCTTCTGAGTAAGCAAAACAAATTTTTCCAAAAAGAAAATCAAAAGAAGAATCTCTTTATGAATCCTACTTAAATATAAACCTGGTAAATAATCTCAAGAAGCTAAAAATATATTTACACGAACAAATATTTGAGAGAGAAATGCAGCAGGAATTTTTCTTTGCTTTAAATTAATTTTAAATTAAATTCTCTGGAATCACCGAAAAGGAGCATTAAAAAATCGAATAATGTACTTTTCATTTTTTTTAATTTATTATTTTTTTATTTATTATTTAAATTCTTTTATTGAATACTTATTTCTTTATTTTCATAATAATTTTCATTATTTCATTCTTTTATTATAACTTTAATAATAAAAAATTAAAAATCGATTAAAATGCGATAATAAAAAGTTTATAAAACAAAATAAATAATTTTAATATATTAATTAATTAACAGAAGCTATCGACATTACATTCTTAAATTTAAATATTAATTATATTAATTTTTTATTATTTTAATATTTTTCTTATTATTATCTATTTTATTTATTCTCTCGATGTGTATTATTTTATTAACAAATAATAATAATAATAATAATAATAATAATTTAATTAAAAAATGAAAACACTAGAAATTATAAATGTATGGAAGTTTCTTTTTTTGAAAAATATCTGCTCTTTGTTGAATTTCACGGTAAATGAAAGAGATAAAGTTGAATCTATATATTTTTCAGTAGATACGATCCACTTTGGTCAGACACGCTGTACAAAGAAGGAGAAACGCCCAAGTATTAAAAACATACTTTTTTCCCTCTGAATAACCGCAGGATATCAAAATATTTTTAAATTTTTACTCGCAAAAAATAAGAAAATGTTTTTTTTAAAAATACTAAAGTTAATTAAAAAAAAAGAGTTCATGAAAATGAAAAACACGAATTCATTATATTTACCGGAGAAAATATTGTAATAAAATAGAAATAGCACATAAAACAAAAATAATAATCAACTAAAATTATAATAAAAATATAAGTATAGTAATAAAATTATATAAATAATAATAAAAGTAATAATTAAAATAGAAGTGATAATAAAAGTAGAAAGTAGAAATTATTATAAAAACAGAAATAATAATAAACGTATAAATTACACCAAAAATAGAAATAATAATAAAAATGTAAATAATATTAAAAATATAAGAAAGAAAGAAAATTCAAATTTTCTCCTTTTTAATTTCCTAATTTATTTTTTTATTTTCTTATTTACATTTTCTTCTTTCCTTGCAAATAATAAATTTTATTTCAAACATAAAAAACTAATTTTTTTCTATACTAATTTACTTTATTTTTATTTTCAGTATTTCGTAGTTTTTGCAAATATTTCAAGCCTAAAAAGTAAAGACGCAAAGATGGAGAAAACGATTGTAAATAATAAAAAAATATATTAAAACAACTTTCTAAATTTTAATTAAGAAAAATGTTTACTAATTTAAATTAGTGACTGACTTTTTGCTTTTGAATTAGTAAATTTTTGTAATAAAGTAGAAAAATTACTAGTTATTTAAATTAGTTTTATAATTAGAATGTGAAATACTGACACTTTTGCTTTTTAATTATTAAATTTTACTAATAAACAGTCATTTCTACTAATTTATTACCAAAATTAACTAACAAATCGTTATTTCTACTAATTTATTAGTAAAATTTACTAATTCAAAAGCAAAAATTCGTTCATTAATTGCAATTAATAAACAGTTATAATAATTCAAATTTAGAGTAAAATTGAAACTAGCAACTTCTTGTTGCCTTTTTAAAATAAAATTAGCAATTTTAAAACTAATAGAATTTAAAAATTTTCAAATTTAAATTTTTGTTGAAAACACTAAAAAAAATTCAATTTTGGAGAAATTACAAATAATTACAGAAATTCAATTATTTTCATTCATAAATAATACATTTTTTTTAAGTAACTCAATTATTTTCGGAAAAAAATAATTTAAAATTCTTGAAAATAATAATTGAATAATTAAAATAATGAAAATAATTTTAATGAAGTTACAGTAACAATATTCTTATAAATAAAAAATAATATTTTTATTACTTGGTCATCTTTAATTATTAGAAAACATGAAGAAATCTATCACTCCGAGCCTTCGACTCGGAGCAATCGATATCTTCATGTTTATATAATAAAATAATATTTGAAATTAGAAAATTAAAAAAAAATTATGATTAACAAATAAATTTTGTTTTTTATATGCTTTTTTATAACAAACTCTCGTTTGACTGATCTAAATTATGCAAATTTTCTTCTATTTTATTTATAAAATTATTAGAAAATTGTTAATTTTGTTAAAAAATTATAATTAAGAAATTAAGAATTGCAAGTTAAAAGTATATAGAAAATTCATATTTTCAAATATTTTAATTTTAAACCTTTTCAAAATTATTTAATTATTTAAATATTATTATTTCAATACAAAAATAAATAATTTATTGAATAATTAAATGTTTTTAAAAATTTAATTCTTATAAAGAATTTTATCTACAAATTTTTAAATAATTGAATTCTTTTGACGAATTTTAAAATAAAATTTTTAAGAACAATTACATTTTTTGAGGAATTTGATTAAAATTGTACTAAAAATAATTAAAATTCTGCGATAAGCTTTATTGTTCATGAAAATAATTGAATTCCTGAAACAAATTTATAATTTATAAAAATTATTTAATTTATAAAAAAAGTTATTATTTATGAAATTAATTGAATTATTGCGTTAAAATTTATAAAAAAAATTTGTTATTTATTGAATTCCTGTGAAATTTTTATTTTTTTTTAAATTTTGAACATAATTGAACTTTGCAAGAAGAATTTTATTGCTTTTGAAAAGAATTGAATTGTAACTTCTCCAAACTTAAATTTTTAAAAATTTTTTTTAACTAAAATTTTTCTGTAAATCTATTAGTTTTAAAAAAAATTACTTAAAAATATATATAGACAAATTTAACTAATTTGAAGAAGAATTTGAATTATTAAAATTTTCCAAAAATCCAAGTTTTTTAACATTTCTAATTAAATTCATTAGAAATTGGAATTTTTAAAAATTTCAAATTCAAACCTTTTGAACTTCATCTATTTATGAAAATATAATTGTAAACGCAACTCTTTTAAAATTCAATGAGTTTTGTAATATTTAAGTGAAATTATTCATTAAATAATTTCTAAGTACTAATTTCATGACAGTTGCTCAAGAATGAAGTTATTTAAAAAGAAATTATTGTCAGAAATGGAAAAAATTGAAGACACCAAAATTCAGAGTTTTCTTATGTATTCTAAAAGAAAATTGCAATTCTGCGATGAGTTTTATTATTTATGAAAATAATTGAATTTCTAAAAAGAATTTTATTATTTACAAAAATAATTGAATCTCTGCAAAAAAATTGTATAGTTTATGAAAATACTGGAATTATTACAAAGAAATTTGTAAATAATTAAAATCTTGTGATTTTTTATTATTTATGAAAATAATTAAATGTTTTCGTAGAATTTTAACAAAATTTGTTTTAAATAATTGAATTCTTTGGAAAAATTTTATTAAAAAATTAGATATTCAAAAATCATTGAATTGAGGAAATTTTTTGAAAATAATTGCAATTTGGCCAAGAATTTTATTAAATTTTTTAAAAATAATTGAATTTCGCAGAAGAATTTTTTTCATTTATAAAGATAATTGAACTTTTGATGAGAATTTTAAAAAATTTTTGAACATAATTGAATTTTTGCAATCATTTGTAACTTCTCCAAAATTCAAATTTTATTAGTGTTTTTAACTAAAATTCCTTGATAAATTCATTATTTTTAATAATTAATTAAATAAAATTTAACTAATTTTAGAATAATTTAAATTTTGAAAATTTTCACAAAAATTTAAGTTCTTTAGAGTTTTTAATGAAATTCATTCAAAATTGATATTTTATAAAATTTGAAATTAAAATCTTTTGAAGTTCATTTGTTTATGAAAATTGTAAACGCAACTATTTTAAAATTCAATTAATTTTGAAATGTATAAATAAAATTTTATTTATTATTCATTATAAATAATTTCTAAGTACTAATTTTATGATATAGTTGTTCAAGAATGAAGTTATATTTAAAAAGAAATTATTTTCAGAAATAGAAAAAATTGAAGGTTTTGTATCAGAATTCGTGGTTATTTTATAGTTTATGAGGCAAACAAAAAATACACAAAAATTCAGAGTTTTCTTATATTCTAAAAATTTAATTCGTACTTTTAATAAAAATGTCTAACTTTTCCTTGAATACACTGTCTCAGAATATATGATTATTGTGGTTATAATACTAATAATCTATATTCCAATTCATATTTTATTTTTATGAAAAAAAAATTGAATTAAAAATTAAAAAAATTTTTTTTTTTAAATTGCTAATTTTATTTAAAAATAGTAGGCAAAAAGTTAGCCGCGCGAATTATGATAGTAATAAAAATTATTAAATTAATTATTAAATAAAAATACAAATCATAACAATAAAACAAATTTTTTTTTTTTTGTAATTACACCCAAAAAATTTGAGAAATAATTCCCAATAATTAGAAAAAAAAATCAGAATTTCATTTACCATAGAACAATTTAATCTAAATAAGATTATCGAGAGAATAATAAATGATAAAAATTTCCAATACCCAATGACAGAGAAAATCCGATTTATAGCTGATTTTCTCACAGTTTCTTACACATAAAAAACTACCAGTTCACGCGCGAATCGATTCAATGAAAGGAATAGAGATGATGATTTTTCCCTTCTTTTTTCATCCCAAGTACCTATATATACACTTAAATCCCGGCCTATTGCTCTCACAGCCGTTGACCAAAAGGCTTCCCACTGTATCTGTATCTACTGAAAATTGATAGCCTCTCGTAAAAAACAGCAGCAAAGAACCTTAACAATCTGTGTGCTCAAACAAAATTTCTCATAATGTGCACCTGTTGGTATACGCACTCTCTCTCTCTCTTTTTTCTTTCTTATAGTATTCTTTTTAATAAATTAATTATTATTTTTATTATTTAAATAAAACAAAAATTATTAAAATTTATTCCTTTTTTTACTCTCTAAATATATGAATTAGTAAAAATGTTTACTCTTTACTAATTTGAATTAGTTATTGATTTTTTGGTTTTTGAATTTGTAAATTTTACTAATCAATTAGTAGAAACTACTATTTATTAGTTAAAAGTTTTCGCTTTCTTTTTGCTTTTGAATTAGTAAACTTTACTAATAAATTAGTAGAAATTATTATTTATTAGTAGAAATTATTATTTATTAGTAGAAATTACTATTTATTAGTAGAAATTACTATTTATTAGTAGAAATTACTATTTATTAGTAGAAACTATTATTTATTAGAAAAAATTTACTAATTCAAAAGCAAAAGTATCAGTCACTAATTTAAATTAATAAAAAATTTTACTAATTCAAATTTAGAGAGTAACTATTATTTTTATTTATTAATTAATTTTATTATTAAATAAAAGAATAATTATTAAAAAGGATACTTTTCTTGTAAATTCTTTACAGATATCAAAAAAAGTACAATATACAGAAAACAATGAGAGAAGAATAGCAATACTCACTGCTGTCGCATCTTAAAACGGCGATAGCGGCAAAAATCATTCCCAGTTGGATCGTTGCTTTCAAATCCCCGACGATGTTTAGGTGGCGAAGACATTGCCATCTTGACCTTATCTCCTTTAATCGATTCAATTTTTTCGAAATTCTCCTCGTTTCCAGTATTTTTCTTTTTGCTGTAATTTTCGTATTTTTTGCTTTTGTCTTCTTTGATGAGAAACTTATTTCCGCTGTTCTGATTGCTTTTTCTATTATTGTTCTTATTGATCCTATGATTTTTGTCACTATAATTTTTATTGTTACTATTTTCACTACTAGTTTCGATGTTACTATTTTTATTGTCACTATTGTTGTTACTATTTTTGTTATTATTATTATTTTCGTTATTAATATCTTTGTTGTTGTCACTAGTTTTGTTATTGCTACTACTTTCGCTATTACTATTTTTGTTATTAGTATTTTTGTTATTATTACTATTTTTCTTCGTACTATCTCTGTTGTTATCACTATTTTTGTTATTACTATTTTTGTTCGTACTATCTCTGTTGTTATCACTATTTTTGTTATTACTATTTTTGTCACTGTTACTATTTTTGTTATTATTACTATCGTTGATAGTACTTTTTTGGTTATCACTATTTCTGTTAGTACTGTTATCGTCAGTGCTATTGTTGTTACTATTATTTTTACTTGTACTTTTTTGGTTATTACTACTTCTCCTATTACTTTTTTGATTATTACTATTTTCGTTAGCACAATTAACGGTAGTAGAATTTTTGTTTCTTCTCTTTTCGTTCGTACTATTTTTCTTCGGACTATTTTTGTTGGTACTATTTTTGTTCGTATTATTTTTGTTAGTACTATTTTTGTTCGTACTATTATTGTTCGTACTATTTTGCTTCGTACTATTATTCCTAGTACTATTTCTGCTATCACTACTTTTCCTAGTACTATTTCTGCTAGCACTATTTTTCGCAGTACTATTTTTCCTAGTACTATTTTCGCTATCACTATTTGTCCCAGTACTATTTTCCTCCTCAACATTCACACAATTCCCATTGTTGAAATTTTTACAATTATTTTCATAACTACAATTTTTGTCCACAATCCCATCGTGCAGTAAACAATTAAATGAACTGATAATAATGAAATGATAATCGAGGAGCGAGCGTCGATGGTAATTTTGATAGAGACAACGACGACGACGACGACGAGGATGAGGACGAGGACGAGGACACGTGCCAATTTGCAATTGCCCGTTCATCAGGGGAGGATTTTCATGAGCGAGTTTTTGCGACAGCAATAACGCATTAAGCTCGTGCTTCTTAGTCTGCTCGGTGCCCGGCCCACCCATTCAACTCGATGATCACTATACGGACTGACGCCCTCGCTAAGACCCGAGAATCTTCACACCACCTTTTGTGTGTTTCCTCCCCTTTAGCTCCTTCGTGTCTGTTGGTCAAAAGGCTAGGTTAGAAAATGTCCTAATTCATGACCAACCATAACATTCATCACTCTCGCATTCTCTCCGCCGACACAAAATCGACTTTCCTCTCTTTCTCTCTCTCTCTCATCACCTCAACTTATTTCACGCAAGGTCACCAAGTATTTTATTCTCCCAAATTATCCAGAGAAATAGAAAATTTATTTTTTTAATAATTTATAAAAATTTACTGAATTTCACTAATAAATAGGAATTTCTACTAATTTATTAGTAAAATTAGCTAAAATTTACGAATAAATAGTAATTTGTACTAATTTATTAATAACATTTACTAAATTTTATTTAATAAATAGGAATTTCTTTATTAATAATTTGATATATTTACTAATAAATAGTCATTTCTACTAATTAATTAATAAAATTTACTAAACTTTACTAATATACAATAATTTCTACTAATTTATTATTAAAATTCACTAAACTTTACTAATATACAATAATTTCTACTAATTTATTATTAAAATTCACTAAACTTTACTAATATATAATAATTTCTACTAATTTGTTAACAAAATTTACTAATATATAGTAATTTTTACTAATTTATTAGAAAAATTTACTAAATTTTATTAATAAATAGGAATTTCTACTAATTTATTACTAAAGTTCGCTAAAAGTTACTAATAAATAGTAACTAGCAACAATTCGCGCGCTAAAGCACGCGGCTAACTTCTTACTACCATTTTTAAATAAAATTAGCAATTTTAAAAATAATAGAACTTGAAAATTTTCTAATTTAAATTTTTGTTGAAAACACTAAAAAAATTAAATTTTGGAAAAATTACGAATAATTGCAGAAATTCAATTCTTTCAAAAAAAAAAAATAATAATAAAATTCAACTGTGTTCAAAATTTGAAAAAAATTCTCGTAAAAATTACAATTATCTTTATAAATAACAAAATTCTTCTCCAAAGTTCAATTATTTTCATAAAAAATAGTTTAAAATTCTAGAAAATAATAATTGAATTAAAATGATGAAAATAATTTTGAATAAGTTACAGTAACAATATTCTTATAATATAAAATAATGATTTTATCACATATCACTCGTTCATAATAAGTTACAGTAACAATATTCTTATAATATAAAATAATGATTTTATCACATATCACTCGTTCATTTTTATTGTTATAAATCATGAAGATATCGATTGCTCCGAGTCGAAGACTTCAATTTAAAAAAGGTTTGAATTAAAAATTTTTGAATTCCGGTGGAAAATCCTGTTCCAAAAATAAGATTAAAAATAGGAATTGTGCAAATATTTTTCTTCTTTTTCTAAAACAAAATAATAATTTTGTTTAAAAAATTGTGATTCATAAAAAAAATAATGCAAAATAAATAAATTTTCTATTTCTTAATCACAGTTGTTTAACAATTTTCTAATTTTCTTTAGAAGTAAAGAACAAAAATCTGCATAATTTCAATTTGACAAAACAATACCTAATATTTAACAAAATTTTAGTCTTTTAATGAAAAGTAGTGAAAAAAATTCTGATGATTTCTATTTGTCATTACAATTTTGAATTAATTGAATTAATTATAACATAAAAATAATTATTATATAAAGGTCTATAATATATCAAAAAAAACTTTATTTAAAAATAATTATAACATAATAATATAATATATAATCTATCTAAAGATAACAAATAACAAAAGTATAAACAAAAGACAACTTCAGAGTGTGTGATACAGAAAAAGTGAATGAATGAAAGAACATTCAAATCATTATAGTTAATTATAGTAAAAAATACTACTAATTATGTAGAAGACTAATTTGAATTAGTGACTACCTTTTTGATTTTGAACTAGTAAATTTTAGTAATAAATAGTAATTTTTATTAATTTGAATTTTTATACAAATGTTAACTATTTAAATAATAAATTAGTCAACATTTTAACCAAATTAACATTTAGAGAGTAAATAGATAATGAATTTACTCTTTTTTTTTGTTTTCAGTGTTTCGTAGTTTTTGAAAATATTTCAAGCACAAACAAAAAAGCCTCAAAGATATGGAAAACGAATGTAAATAATAAAAAAAATAAATTAAAACAACTTTCTAAATTTAAATTAGTAAAAATGTTTGCAAATTTGAATTAGTGACTGACTTTTTGCTTTTGAATTGAATTAGTAAATTTTACTAATAAATTAGTAGAAAGTACTATTTATTACTAAAATTTACCAATTGACTTTTAATAATTTAGTAAAAGTTACTATTTATAAGTATAATGTTTACTAATAAATTATTAGAAATTACTATTATAATTATTATACTAAATTTGAATTAGTAAAATTTTTACTAATTTAAATTAGTCATTGACTTTTTGCTTTTATATAAATTAGTAAATTTTACTAACAAAATAAGTAGAAATATTTTCCTAAAGTTTTGAACGTTCAAATGAACGAAATATTTTTCTATTTAAGTATTTTTGAAAATTATTGTACAAAAAAGAAAAATAATTAAAATTAAACAGTCACGTAGTTAAGAATCAATTTTTAGTTTTGGAAAATAATTTTTTTTTCATAAAAAAATACAAAATTAAAAGAAGTAAAAAAATATCGTCGTTCATTTGAACGTTTGAAACTTTGATTTTATGTAGAAAATTAGAAATTAATATTTATTAATAAAATTATTTAATAAATTAGTAGAAATAGAAATTACTATTTATTACTAAAATTTACTAAACTCTGAATAATTTAGTAAAAATTACTATTAATTAGTAAAGTTCACTAATAAATTATTAGAAATTACTATTGTCACACCAATTAATAATTATTATACTAAATTTGGGTTAGTAGAAATGTTTACTACTTATTTGAATCAGCGACTGACTTTTTGCTTTTGAATTAATATATTCTACTAATAAATAGCAATTTTTACTAATTTATCATCATTTTTACTAACTCAAATTTAGAAAGAAATTAAAATTAATAAAACTTAAAAATAATAGCAAAAAAATTCAAAAAAAAAATAAAATTAAAAATATAATTATCATTTATTGTTTGTATTATTATTATAAATACAAATGGAAACTACAATAAAAAAGCGCAATCAAAAAAATAAAAAAAGAAGGCAAAAATGACAAAAGGACTGAAAAGAGGAAAATGAGAATAAGAGAAAAAGAAAAAACAAAAAGAAGAGATAGAAAGAAGCAACAAAAAAACAAGCGAATGCTAACAATAAATAAAAAAAAAAAAATTCCTAACGAAAGAAGAAAAAAAATATGGCTTCTCATTCATCAGAATGAATGAATTTGTATCTTCATTATCTTTTCATACGCTCAACTTATCATTATTACATCCAAGGAGACTATGATCAAAGTACATAAAAATAACAAACTTTCTTTTTCAAACTCATTATCTTTATATATATACAAAGTCTCTACACAGTAGAATCATTTTCCCTTTTCACACTAATACAATATTTTCTGCTTTTCCATCCATTATAAAACCACAATTTCTTTCATATCGAATACACACAGACACACTCATCAATTCATTTTTTTTTTTCTCCTCTTTTTTTGCATACAGCAACAATGCAACAGAGTATTTCCTACCTTGTGCTTTTCCTCACTCTCAACAACACATTGCCACCCCCTTTTTTTGCCTTCATCGTTTAACGCCTCTTTTTTTTCCACAACACCCTTTTTTCATTTATAAGTAAACTCTCATTTTCTTGATATTGTTTTTTTTCTTTTTTTTTTTGTTGTTGTTACTTTTTTCTCAATAGGAATGGGAATTGTGTCCACAAGGCACAAAAGATAACGAAGAACAATTTTACTCTCGCAATTCTCTCTCTCTCTCTCTCTCTCCTTTATCTTATCAAAACAGACTGTGTGCGCGCGGGGTTGTTATCCATGTGTTTTGAAAGGAATTCAAGTTTCACGGGACACTTGGAAGATGGCGGCACTGACAGAAAATGTGTAAAAGCAACCCTGTTATGGTGCTGCCCGGTCAATACCAAACATCCTGTCGACATGATAACCTGAATTAGAAAAACTAGATATCTTTTCGATTGCACATGGAATTCTTTTTTTCCATAACGCGATATTAGTACCTATATTAAAGGAATATTATATTAAAGAAAAAAAAAGGAAAAGTAAAAAATTAAAAAAAACTAAAATAGTAAAAAATTAAAAGGAATAAAACAGTAAAAAAAGAAAATAATAAAAAAAGAGGAAAAAAAATTATAAATAAATTTTTTAACTAAATATTCACATTGGAAATTGTTAACTACCCTTCAAAAAGTGGGTGGTTTGGAGAGGAGAACTTGAATGAAAGTTGTGACGGTTGGAATAGCACGTGGGGTTTAAATATAGAGAAAGTAGAGCAAGTTTCAAAGTTGAGATTTATCGTGCAAGGAAGTGATGATAGAGGAGTGAAGGTTGAACATCCTAGTTTATTTCACTCCATCATTGAACAAGAAACCTCTTCCTATTGATCGACAATTTTTCCTAATCAAAATTAACACTCACAATCCCCACAAAAAAAGTATATTTAACACGAAAAATTATTTTTAAACTGCAATTAATAATTATTTATTCAAAATGTTGTAATTATTTTGAAATTATTATTATTTTTTTCATTACAATTTTGCAATTATAAATATTTCTTGTCTCGCTAATTTTAACTCCATCAGAGTTCGATTTTCAAAAATCCAAAATGGCGGATCCAACACGGTGGGATACTTTCTAAGAACTAATCACAATCGCATGAAATTTTCCACTCAGAGCCTTTTTAGTGGCACTGATAACGAATCTGTCTTTTAATTTTCCAAAGTTATGATGAATTCCTTTTTTTGTAAATTTATCATATTTATTATTTTATTATTATTGTTATAATAATAAATATTATCATTATTTTTATTATTATTATTTTATTATTGCCACTATTTATTATATTTAAATTATTTTATTAAAGTTTGAAAAAATTACAATTACACCAAGAAAAAAATTTATTTAACTAAACTAAATTATTTATTTTCTCTCTAAATTCGAATTACAAAAATGTTTACTAAATAATTAACTACAATAATCTTTGTATTTCATTCTGTCATTATAAAACATAAATATATCGATCACTCCAAGTCGAAGACTCGGAATGATCCATTTCTTTATGTTTTATAATAATTAAAGATGACCGACTGACAAAATCATGATAGTTTATTATTATGAGAATAATGTTACTGTAATTTCTTCAAAATTATTTTTATCATTTCAATTCAATTAACATTTTCTAGAATTTTTAACTAAACTTCTATTTTAAATCAATAACATCAATTATTATTCAATTAAACTTTTTCAAAAAAAAATTAATTGTACAGAATTGTTAGTTAAAAGTACGAAAAATAATAATTTAATTTTACGTGAAATCAATTATTTAAATACAAAAATAAATAATATTCAATGTTTCTTAAAATTTAATTTTTAGAATTGTATTAACAACTTTTGAAAATATTTAATTTCTTTTAAGGAATTTAATTAAAATTTTAATGAAATTTATTATGTTAAAGAATTTTATAACAATTTTTGAAAATAATTGAAAACTTTTTGAAGAATTTTATTAAATTTTTTAAAAATAATTGAATTCCTGAGAAGAATTTAAATAATAATTTTTGAAAACAATTGAATTCATGACAATACTTTTATTAAAATTTTTGAAAATAATTGACTTCTTGAGAAGAATTTTCAAAACATTTTTGACAATAATTTAATTCTTGAGAAGAATTTCCCTATCTATTTATAAAAATAATTTAATTCTTGACGAGAATTTTTAAAAAATTTTGAAAATAATCTAATTTTTGCAAAGTATTTTATTACTTTTCAAAAGAATTGAATTCTTGTGATGAATATTGATATTTATCAAAATAATTGAATTTTGGAAAAGAATTTTATTAAAATTCCTTAGAATAATCGATTTTATGGAAAGAATTTATGCGATTTTGTTATTTATCAAGCTATTTAAATTCTTTTGCAAAATTACTTAAAATTTTTTGAAAATAATTGATTCTCTGCGACGAATTAAACGTTATTTATCAAAATATTTGAATTATTGTAACGAATTTTATTGTTTTATTGAATAATTGAATGTTTCTTAAAATTGAATTCTTTCCTCAAGTTTTAATAAAATTTTTAATAATAATTGCATTTTTCAAGAAATTTATTTGAAATTGTATTAAAAATATTTGAAATTCTGCGATGAAAATAATTGAATTCGTAAATGAAATTTTATTATTTATGAATATAATTTAATTTTTTCGTAGAATTTTATCAACAAGTTTTTTCTATAATTAAATCTGTTGATAAATTTTATGAAAATAGTAAATATTTAAAAACATTGAATTGCGAAAAACTTTTAAAAATAATTGAAATGTTGCAAAGAATTTAATTAAAATTTTTGACAATAATTGAATTTTCGGGAAGAATTTTAATATTTATAAAAATAATTGAATTTGTGCAAAGTATTTAATTAAATTTTGTTTAATTAATTTAAGTTTTGCCAAGAATTTAATTAAAATTTTTTACAATAATTAAATTGTTGAGAAGAATTTTTATATTTATCAAAATAATTGAATTTTGGAAAAGAATTTCTTTAAAAATCCTTAAAATAATTGATTTTATGGGTTTTATTGGTTCAAAGTTTTTTAAAAATAAATGAAAAAAATGTTTATAACTTCCATTTGCCAATTATAAATTTTAATTGAAAATTATTCGAAAACATCAAATACTTCATTTTTAAATAAATATTTAATTATTATTATTTTCCCATAGGGATTAAGATTTTCAAAAATTTTAAATTCAAACCTTATTGAAAATAAACAACATATAAAAGTAATGTTATAAAAGATGAAGATACCGATTGCTCCGAGTCTTCGACTCGGAGTGATCGGTTTCTTCATGTTTTATAATAATTAAAAGTGACCAAGTAATAACATCATTATTTTACATTATAAGAATATTGTTTTCGAAAATAATTGAACTTTGGTGAAGAATATTGTTATTTATAAAGATAATTGGAATTTTGACGAGAATTTAAAAAAAAAATTTTAAACAATTGAATTTTATAAGAAGAAAATATTAAACTACTTTTATTTTTTTAAATTTATTTATATTATTTTCATTTTTTAATTATTTAAAAAAAATCTTTATTATTCTAAACAAATTATTAAATGCTTTGATTGATTATTTTATTTTTTTGCGTTGACGTTACAAATTGTACACAATTATAAAACAGAAATTCAGAAAATTAATGAAAACTTGGAATATTGTTAATAAGTTGTCGTTAAAAAGAGAAATCATTAAAAAAAATTTCAATTTGTTTAATTTGAAAAACTTATTTGTTTTCCAAATCAAAATTGAATAGCTTTCATTTTTTATATATATTTTTAAAAAATTAGAAAATTATTAATAAATTAAGTTTAGGGCATAGAAAATAATTTCCATATTTTCTGCTTCTCAATCGCAATTAATACAAAATTAGGAGTTTCCTTTTGAGAAAAAGAAAAAATTTTGCAAAATGCCCATTTCTAATCACAATTTTTTTTAACAAAATCTGCTTTTCTTTGAAAGAAGGAAATAATAATTTGCACCATTTTAGAAAATTTTCAATTTCTTTTGGGTAAAAAATTCATAATTTCTATTTGTTAATTACGATTTTAACAAAATATTAATTTTTTTTAAATTATTAAAAACTTTGATAATTTCTATCTTTATAGAAAAACTGTGAATTCAAATTTAAAGAGTAGTTTGAAATACTAAAATTAATGTGTTTAAATTACAATTTATTTGATTCAAGTAAATATTTATTCGCCAATAAACAAGTAATCGCTTATTTGAAATTTGAATCAAATAATTTTGATTTAAGTTCTCAGTTTAATTTTTAAATGCAAAAAGTAAATAATTGCTGTATATATATATATATATATATATATATATATATATATTTCATAAGCACGTGAGATTCGAGTTGTTTAACGAGAGATTTTTGGAGATATCTCTCAATTAAATTGACTAAATGTTGTTAGAGTTAGGATCACCGTATAAGCCGATGGGATAAGTGGTCATTTCGTGATAATCTGTTTACTCCAAGTGAAGCGTATAAATATGACAGTAGATAAGAGCGGCTTTGGTCAGCCAGGAAAGTGGGAACACTAAACTCAACACCTTCAGTCACCATGTGAAATCAGACTCTCTACAATTAATACTATGGACAGTTCAAACTCTAACAAACCAATTTATAACTAAATATAAACTAATTCTAACAAAATTTATATCAACAAAAATTTTAATAAAATATATATTTATAATATAATTATAATTATAATTATAATTATAATTATAATTATAATTAAAATTATGATTATAATTATAAATATTATAATTATGATTATAATCTCTCTAAATCTGAATTAGTGAAAATTGAGCCACCAATCCAAATTTATGGAGATAGGAAGATTTTGAAAATTTATATTTACAATAACAAACCTTTATAAAATACAAAAAAAAATTTTTAGAAAGATTAGGAACAAAATAATAATTTCAGAAGAAATTAATTAGTAAACAATTTTAATTATAATTCCAAATAAAAACGATAATTAAAAATTAAATAAAATTACTTAAAAAATGTAAAAATTGATAAAAATTATTTCGACTTTTCATAATTATTCACATTATAATATTATAATAATTAAAAGAAAATGGAGAATCTCAAAATGCAAATCGAAAGCAATATTTTTGGAAACGTAGCTTGTGTTCGATACTGTCCTCTGTCGAATTCTTTGGGAACTACGTCGAATAAATGCAATCGACTTTTATTCACTCACTCGGGCTAGAGATGAGTCACGTGATGCCATCTCACTTATTTTAATCAAAGAAAATCAGTCAAAGAGAGAATTTTCATTTCCTAATGTCGGTCTTCATTATTTCATTCGACCTGAATTATTTTTAATTTTATATTTTGTACAATATACCGACACTCCTTAACTATATATATATTTAATTCAAACTAAAAATAGTTCCACTTTTCGGTTTCATAAAAAATTCCTCGACACATTTTATGCACAAGAGAACTGGAATAAAAAGAAAAAAAGTTCGCAAAAATGAAATTGAAAAAAGAAAT